TGCATAAAGTAGCAAATATTGTCCCACTGTTAGTACATATGTTCCAGAATAAACACATTTTAAATGATGTTAATGGCCCAAATTATTGTTTTTTCCCTAAAATCTTCACTGTAACTAAGTTTTAACTGAGCAGGATGTTTGGGCTTCATTAAGGTAATTTTTAAATAGACTTGTCTTGGAATATTCTAAACGTTGATACTGTTGACCGGTAGAAGAGATTATTATATCGGCCAGCCAATTCATCTGTAGTGCTCCAAAATATATGGAATGAGAATGCATGTGATTTTGTGAAATGCAGTTTATTGCTTATATTTGTTTTCTTTTTAGTAGTTATCTGTTTTTAACTGCACCATTAAATGACTTCAGTCCTCTTGATTTGTACAGATATTCTAAATCAAACAATTTAATAGAAACAACATAACTTTTTGAATAGATAAATATAGAAATTATGGCAAAAGACTAATATATAAATGAAAGATGAGCCTTTGCTTCAGCATCACGTTATCATTGCAGAACAGAAAGGTTATGAACTTGCATTAATTTGTCAACATTTTCCCACGGTAAATAATACAGCATTAAATTAGGATTTAGTTTGGCCACCTTGACATATTGACTATATTATGGACATGTTGGTGCTGTTGGAAAAAATAGAAATTTCACAGCTTTAATTACCAGGTGGTTGTTGACATGAACAGTATTTACTCGTCAGAATATGGCAATTACAGAGACTTCCATATGACATGAGCGCGACATCTGCCCCTGCAGGTCTGTCCATGAGTCACCAGAGACTCCTTGTTGTCAGATGCTCCAGAGTCAGACATAACAAGATCCTGTGTGCGTGGTCTGGGACTGGAAACATCGGCAGTCCAAGACGAAGTGGACAGTCACAATAAAATCAGGCTCACTCACTTTTGTCAGCTCCTGTCTTTAATGCAGTGAAATGTACGTATTTCGTACGTTAAAGCTCTTATAACACTGGAGAAAACTCATATATATCACATGGGACACAAAACAGAGTTAATATGACAACTATCAAAGGGCCTTGTTAGTAGCATAAAAATCTTTTCTTATGAGTAAAGTGGCAATTCTTTTATTTCTCCGTTTTCTTGCAGAGTGACATCAGCATAACGGATTTTCTGAAATATGTCTCTGGCTGCACAGTTTATCATTTCAGCATCGCTACCATAATGTGAACATGTACAATAGTGAAAATTCATATATTTCTTCATAATTAAATATAAAGGGCAGAAAAATATTGTCACTCTTCTCCAATATCATGTTTGTTGACTCCATTTTAAAAGAAAATTAATTGGACTAACCCACTATCCTGAAACCTTTGAATAACATCCACAGAGTATTCTATTATGAGAATTTGCCCATGCTACTGTATTTCCTTTGTCCTAGTTGTGTCCTCCACATGACACTTGAGAGGACACAGTGAAACACTGAAATAACTTTCCAGACCAGTGACACTGTGGGGCTGCAAACTGTTTTGTAATATGTGTGAACACTTGTTCACAAGGAATCTTCACTCTTTCTTTTTTAAAAAGGAAACAGTTCAAGTTTCCTTCTCTGTTATTGATCCAGATAACTCAGCTATATATGTTCATGTAAAGCACTGATCCAAACCATGTGCAGTCTTTAGATTATGACCATTATAGGTTGGCCAGTCCACCACATTTGAATATCTGAACAGCTACTGAATGGATTGCAGTTTGGTTCCTGATGCATGGTGACCAGAGGATGAAACCTTTGTGGTCCTGTGACTTTTCCCTTATGTTTTTGGTTTTTTGACCTCTTGGATGGTCTGATGACTTTGGCAACTCTCTCAACCTACACCTTTTTTGACATTGGATTCTATTTCATGAAACATTTTAATTGTTTAATGAAGTCGACCATAGGAGGAGAGACGCAGCGGCTCAGTGCTTCCTAAAACAGATGTTTGTGCAGGAATCAAATATCGTTGTACAAGTTCGTGCAATGATGATACAGCTTTCTATTCTATTCTATATTTATTTGGGGATTAGCCTCATCATAGGTGATTCCCAGTATTGGTGCTGTAACTAATCCATTATAGCGAGTGTAGTTTAAGTAATGATCTTTTGATGACTGTACCAATGGGTCGAATGAAAAGTTGGGATCAGTTTTGCTGTACCTATTTTGCTGAATGAATAGCTGCTGTGGGATTTCATGGTTATTAAAACCAATTGCACAGTTTTTCAGGGTATTTATGTCGTGATCACTTACTCTGAGTGATGGCACATTGAGTTCTTAATTATACTGCATCTAATTTATGTCCATTCCTGTGAAAAAGGTCATTTTATTCACTTTATTAAAAAACAAAGTTCCCAAATATGTATTAATAGAGAGTGATACTGTAAAGGTTGAGTATGTTTCTCGAACACCCACTCAGTCTTCCTCTCTCTGTCTTTCTCTCCCTCTGTATCTCAGTTAGCTAGAGGCTGTTGCCACCCACACACTCCGTCCTGACAGCAATTTACATTCAGAATTGCCCATGTGAATTCATCTGTGTTAAAATATATACGCTTACTTACAGTGCTTCATGTCGCAGGTATTTAGTGGCAGCGATGTTGAAATTGGAAATATGCTAAATCTTCCTCCGCAGGATCCTTCAATCAATTGGATGTAGGTCTTCCCTCAGTGAAGTGTCAGATTTCAGACCCACACGAGACACAAAAGAGGCTGAGAAATGTTCCACCAGCTGAGGAAGATTCCCTCTTGTGGGCAGCCGACGGGTCTGATCGGTTTGTGTGTTTGCAGAAACGCGGGCTTGTGCAGCATTTTACTTTTTCATCATCTTTTATTGTGCGGTTGTGTGCCAATATCTTCTACAGTTCAAGTAGAAGCCCTTGGAGTTGTTTCCATGGATACCAAACAATTAGCTGGGATTCAGAATAGAACCTGGAGAGTCGCCTATTTACAGGCTTTGGGAGCAGGGAAATCAGAGGATGACAGAGTGTCTTGATTCTCTGTAGCAAAGGAGGGGAAAAAAGCTCCTTTGGGTAATGGGCGATTTTMAAAAAAAAAAAAAAATTACTCCAACAGATGAATCACAGACAGAAATAGCTGCGGCGAGTGGAACCTGATCACGTGTAGCTGTCAGAGATGAACCTATGGATATGTTGGTGTTTATGCTCCGTTTCAAAGGATCAAATGTATGAGGCGCATTCTTCATTCCTTGTGCTGCTGTCATCACAAACCCTGATCTGAGCTGAGTCAAATTTAAATTCACATCATGTTCATATTATCTGATTTCATTAAGATAAAGGATAGTTTTTATTTTTTGCCCCAGTGATAAATTGGTAGCGAGTGATCTATTCGTCACACTGATAAAACACTGAGTTGCCGGAAGTTATCGTCATGTTTTTCATATCGATCAAACATAACAATTAATAGGTTGTTATTGTTAGAACTCTGCTTAGAACCACTTTTATGGAGCTTGCCATTTTCTTTCCGTCATCATTATTCATGGACATAGCTACATAGCCAGCTAGCTACCTAAACTATATCTTTGCACATGGCTTGCCTGAAGTCCACAAGGGCGTCCACTAACCAGAAAGTATGTGGTTTGATCCCCGGCTCTTCTAGTCTGCATTCTGTAGTGTCTATACCCCCACGGTGCTCCTGACGGCCCTGCTGACAGTGAATGAATGTGGTTTGATGAAAGTATGGGGGTGAATGTGAATTGTACAGTAAAGTGCTTTGAGAGGTTGATAAGACTGGAGAAGCACTATAAATATACCATTTACCACCAAAGCTTGCTATTTAGAAATGTGGTACATAGATGGTTGTTTCCCCCCTGATAGAGAAACCGATGTTACGTGGTTGGATAAAGAATGGCCCTCGTCATACCTAGTAAACTTGATTAGTTTCTCCATCAGGGGGCAAACAACCTCTTAGAATCAGACACATTGCTCATGTGGGCAGTGATTCACGTACTGTACTCCAAAATGTCCCTTAAAATAAACTGCTCATAGATTTGGTGACTGCCTTAATTCTGCTGTTTAAAAAGCCCCTAAGTATTTTTGAGTAATTTATGGAGTATTCAATATCTTTATGCTCCTTGCCCCTCATTCTTAGTCAGCACACAGTCATATGGAGGAAGCACCAGGTCTGGTTCCCCTAAGATTACTGCTCATACTTTTATAGATCCATCGCCATGTTCCAGAGTTTGCATAGGCCTTAAGTCAGACTGAGGCTGTAAGGTTGGAGATGAGTCATGTGAGTGTTTCCTACTCAGATTATATAGGTAAAGTTCTCACATCACGATCTGCGTCATTTTACATTGACCTTAGGACACAAAAGTTTTCCAATAGAATCGTCATAAATAGCTTCTTTCTCAGACAGCACACACTCGTCACAGCATTGTTCCTTCTTGTTGTTTTGAAGCTGTAGCTGTTTGTCCTTGTTGGTGACTCTTCTACTCTTCTGCATTGTTGGTGTGTCGGTAGCTTGCTTGTGATCAGTGTGTGTTCTGTGATGATTTCTGATGCTGTTTGCTTTTCTTTGTATCTGAAGCAACTGCAAGGTAATGATTTGAGCAATTTTGCAATTTTTGAAATACACATTTTTTGACCTTCTCTCCCAAAACCATAGGTTTGCTCCGAAAGTGTCTGAAGGGACATATTGATTGAGATGAGAGCTTTGCCTTTTCATCATTATCTTCCATCTTGTGCCTTAAGATCAATTTGTTGTGATCTGGAATAAGCTAAAGACAGGAGATGTGATACCATTGCTGTAAATAATGTGCTAACTTTGCACAGTTCATACAAAAACCTGAACATTTTGTAGCTTTGGATCATGTTTTTTTTATTATATTGATTTGTACTGTTTGTTGTTTAAAGAGTTTCTGGAAACATACATACACACATACAAATTCAGACTTAAACCAGTTTATATTATCTAGATTAGAATGAACAATTTTCTATTGGCTTTCATATTGATTAATAATCTCTTTTCTCGGCACTCTTTCCTCATAGACCAATCTCGCAGGGCAAGTTTTGCCTCTGTAAGACAGTCAAGCATGGAAACTCCTCCAAATGCCACCCCACAGCCCTTCAGACAGCCGGTGAGTGTTGTGTCTTATTTTGCCATCTCACAGAGACAATATGTACAGATTGGATTAGTCTGATTGTATTATTCAGATTATTCAGATTAGTATGATTGGTACAGATTTTTTTTGTCTGATATTATAAATGACTCATTCTTACTTTGGTTAGCGAAGCCAATATATTTTATGCTTAAGTTAGAGTTTATACACTCACTGATTAGAAGAACATTTCTATGTACATTGTATTTTTATTGAAATTTTGCAGGATTTTATAATGGTTGGAATTCAAGGCAAGTAGTAGAAAACATTTGAAAGCTGTTTAAAAATTGAAAAGCAATAGGGCAGAACTGTAAAAGTAAAAATGCTACAGATAGAGAAAATAGTAAAATAAAATGAAAAGTTCTAAAATGATTAAAATTGTCAGTATGATCAGAGGTAGGATAAAAACTTCTGTTCAATACAAGTTTTTTGAATAACATTGTGTATTTACTCTGCTCTTATATATCTTATCTGTAGTTTGGTTTGTTTTTGAATTTTCAGAGTTTTCTCAATCGAAGGTTGAAGGGTTCCATCAAGAGGGCCAAAAGCCAGCCCAAACTGGACCGGACCAGCAGCTTCCGACAGATGATCTTGCCCCGGTTTCGAAGTGCAGACCAAGAGAGGTAATTAAACTTCACGGTTCAAAGCCTTCCAATAATTTCAGGCAATATCATTCATCCAGTCTAGTTGCATATTCTAACTGAGACTCATGAGGGGGTTTGGAGCTTGTCCCAGCATGTTTTGGGCAGAAGCCAAAAGGCTGCGGACAGGTTGCCAGTTTATTACAAGTGTAATAAATATATTCTTACCTATTGAGTGATTTAGTGCTCACAGTTCAGCCAAGATACATTATGAAAAGGCCATGGGTGCAATTACTCATGTGTTTCCCTGTGGTTTATATTGTGGATTTGTTTTCTTTACAAAATAATCCCAAAACAGCTCATTTCCAACGTAATAAACATTCATAATTCACAAGGCAGACTCAGTACCTGTTCTGTTACAGCTTGTGTTGTGTTGAGCTCACACAGAAAAAAAACAACACCCTTGATCAAACCCACACATTCCCAGAGAGAATAAACCAACTCCATGTAGAAAAAGACAGATGATGGAAATGGTGTCATGTTGTTGTGCTTATAATTGTGCAGGAAGCAGGATTTTCGTACAAGCTAATGTTACAAATGCAACAGCCATAACGAGCACTGAAGTACATCAGGCAAAATGCATTATAGTAACATTATAGTTTATCCTAACATTGTATTTTTAAGTTTAAAGTGTAATTCTAGTTTCACAGTCACACTATGCATACATTTATCTTGTGAGTGTGAGTTTTATCATGTGATTTCGATCATCATGTCAGGATGAAATATTTTGCATCATTACACGCTCTCATGAGCTTTTTCTTGTTTTGTATTCTGACGTGAGGTCACATCCCCCAGGAATCCTGCCTGCATTGTTATCAAAATGTTCTGCTGTCCTGACACAATCCAGTCATGACGCACACATGGGAAAAGCACATACGTAAAGAGGGAGAGGCAGAAAGTCAAAAAATACATAACGCTGACGGTTCACTTTCCTCCCACCACGATGCAAAATAGACATTTTTAGGGCAGGTGTGGATGTCCGTTACTCAGAGACGCAGAATGTGTCATTTAGTGAAGGACGTGAAAATGTTTTTGTTCTATAAATACAGGGTGAGAGCAGACGCAGAAGCCCAGTTAAAAAAAATAGTTAACCCGAGGGGTTTTGTGGAGGCTGCACTGACGGACGACGGAGAGGAAGCTCAATGCCGTTGGGGTGAAAGTGACTCCGTGCCTCAGTCAGTCATTGTGCCTTCCACTGGCTCCCACCACTGCCTCAGACAGCTGCCTTCACAGCCTGCCTCCAGTCCTGCCCACACACGCCTAATTCACTCAGTAGTGTTAAGTTGACTTAGCTATAAACCCTCAGCATCCAACTTCACACTCTAGCTTTCCAACACAGCCGCTCTACCTCTGCTGCCAAGTCGGTTTACCAAAGCCTTTTTCTTGTACTTGTATTCTGCCGTGGCTCTTAAACCGGACGATTTGCTGTATCTCTGAGCAGCATTAAATCTGGCCTCAGATTAGTGCTCGTCATTTGCAAGTAACTGGTGTCTCTTAAAAGCTGCCCTGTTCTTCTTGTTCCTCATTATTTTCTCTCCAGAAGTGTTGCACTATCACTTTAAATCAAAGTGAACTTCACCTCTGAATCTTACAGTTTTCCATCAGCCACCAAATCAATTTACTGACTCACACTCAGTCTCTATTCGCTGCACCTCAGCCTGAAATGCTACAGCTGAACTCAAAGGGCAGGCACCCACTCAGCTGTCTGAGATGGTGACACACACACACACACACACTCACACACTCACACACACACACACACACTGAAGCTATCCCAATAGTGGATTTAATTTGTTTTTGCCTCATTTTCCAACAACTCGTCAGAGAAAATGTTTTCCTAACAACATTTTACTTTTTCAATTGGCCTGCTGACCTTGCGTCGCCTGAGAGACTGACTTGACTCACCTTGATTCCTCCTCTTCCACCAACACTTTTCTCTGCCTTGATAGAGCTGTTTTAAAGGTCACAGGTCTAATCCTCTGTGTACCTGCACTACAACGTTCCTGCAGACTGTGACTGAAGAACAGTTTATTACCAGTTTAAAGTTTCACACCATTTACACAGCAGGTAGTATCAACATCACATTTACAGTTGCATTGATTGATAATTGTGTGGTTTGGGGACTGATATTTATGAGTGTGTGCAATTTGGTGCAGATCCAAATAAAAATCAGGATTTAGTGATTTTAAATGTGGTTTTATGAGGGGACTGTATCCATCAATATCAATGTATTGACATATTGCTAATGCATTGTGCAAGCATGGTGTATTACAGTACAGTATTTAGGTATAATAGGTTTTGATGCTCTACGTCAGATTTGTAAAATGTTATAAATATCAACTGGTATAAAAATGAAAATTTGGCCATATACCATAATAATATATGTATTTATTACCTCCAGCCCTAACTTTTGGAAAACCCCTCAATCTGAGACACTGTCGGCCTTTACTTGAAAAAATACAGCATGAGCCACGTGAGCTGAGTCAACAGACCAAACTGTGAACTGAAAGTCTGGTTGTCTTAACGTCTCCATAAACTCATTATAAAAGGATCTGGTCTCAGGAAACATGCTGAAATTGCAGGAGGGACTCACGAGGATTCCTCAGCCTCACTGAGTCATTTAGTTTTATATGAAGCACTGACATAATCACGTCTGACTTTGAATTGTCAATAAATCTCCCCCTCGTTCTTTTTCCCCTCTCGCCAGGACTCGCTTGATGCAAAGCTTCAAAGAATCCCACTCCCATGAATCCCTGCTCTCACCAAGCAGCGCTGCGGAGGCTCTGGACCTAGTTTTGGATGAAGAGGCCATAATCAAACCCGTCCACTCGAGTATTTTAGGACAAGAGTACTGCTTTGAGGTGTGTTCAGCTGTTTAACCCTTCTCCCAGTTCTTCCAAATTGTCTTCCATCTCACCCAACTTTTTATATTGTCTATTAAAGTAACAAATAGATATACCTTTAAATGTTTATTATTATTATTATTATTTATTAAGTTTATATTTCACATGTTGCCAGTTACTGTAAATAAGTCCTTAGATTTCTTTTGTATATATATTTTGCCATTGTAATGAGATGTCCATAGATAAGTGCTATGTATAGATCAAATTGTTTGTTGATTCTAATGGTTCATGCTGTATTACGTGTGTGTTTCTTATCATTTTTTCATCTCACAGTCAATTATTTTTTCAGACATGACTAGGGCTGTGATAAATTGTGATATCATTTTTTAAACTACAGATTTATTATTGTAATAAACATAAAAGTAATTGTTAGTTGCAGATATAAAAAGTACATTCCCTGATTACGATAAATATCTATTTATGTTTCTTTCCGAAGGTCACGACCAGTTCAGGGACAAAATGTTTTGCCTGCCGCTCGGCTTCAGAGAGAGACAAGTGGATTGAGAACCTCCAACGAGCTGTCAAACCCAACAAGGTTGATACAGTAGATTTGTTTTGTCCACTTGTTTTTCTTCTCAGCAGATCGAGTGTGCAACGTCAATGTCAGCTGTAAATAAGGACTGTTATAATGCAGTAACAGAACTCCTCGTTTCGTTTTCAGGACAACAGCCGACGGGTGGACAATGTGCTCAAGTTGTGGATCATCGAAGCTCGGGACCTCCCAGCTAAGAAACGCTACTACTGCGAGTTGTGTCTGGATGACATGCTGTACGCGCGCACCACCAGCAAACCCCGCACCGATACCGTCTTCTGGGGCGAGCATTTTGAGTTCAACAATTTGCCCACCATTCGTAGCCTTCGCTTGCACCTCTACAAGGAAACGGACAAAAAAAGACGCAAGGTAAAGTGGGGGTGCCAGTCAAACAAACATTTAAAAAATAATAGAATAAAACTGGGTGGCACAACATCGCAGTGGTTAGCAATGTAACTGTCTTTTTAAATTCAGGCTTAGGGGTCCTTTTGTGTGGAGTTTGCAGGTTTTTCCCGTGTTTTAGGAGATGCTAAATTCTCCATAGGTGTAAATGTGAGTGTGAATAGGCGAACTGACAAGGATGTATCCTGCCTCTGCTGGGATTGGCTCTCCTGCAACCCTCAAAAGGATAAGCGATATAGATAATGGATTTATGGATAAAATAAAACGAATAAAACATGATGATTTGTTTTGGTGATCCAGGAAAAAAGCACATACCTTGGCCTTGTCAGCATCCCCATCTCCAGCATCACGGGCCGGCAGTTTGTGGAGCAGTGGTACCCGGTGATACAGTCCAGTGTTCTGGCCAAAAGCGGCGGTGTGGGAAGTGGCAAAGTCATCAATGCCTCGCTGCGTGTCAAGTCTCGCTACCAGACAATGAACATCCTGCCAATGGAGCTGTACAAGGAATTTGCCGAGTACATCACCAACAACTACCGAACACTGTGTGCAGTTCTGGAGCCGCTGCTGAGCGTGAAAAGCAAAGAGGAGGTGGCGTTTGCTCTGGTGCACATTCTTCAAAGCACAGGGAAGACAAAGGTGAACATATAAGATATCTGAGTGCATGTATGTGTGTCTGTAGTTCTACGGTGGCTGAGACGTCTCACACAAGCGCATTTACAGAAACATGAAGGAAAATGTGAAAACAAGGAAAACCGCTGTGTGGCTTTTACATTTTCTGTTAATGCACTTGTGTGAGAGGTCTCACCCACTTTAAAGTTCTGTACATGACCAGTTGATTTGAAATGTGTTGTTTCCTTTGCTTCACTGATCTGCAAACGTAATCTCTTTTCAGGAGTTCCTATCTGACATGGCGATGTGCGAGGTGGATCGATTCATGGACCGTGAGCACTTGATCTTCCGGGAGAACACACTCGCCACCAAGGCTGTGGAAGAGTACCTCAAGCTGATAGGTCACAGATACCTCAAGGACGCTATAGGTAAACCTGAACAACACCGTGTTTCCTATTTCCTGCTGAAAGGGTGAAGAGAATACGTGTAAGTTTAAAGTAAATCTGATATTGTGATGTGTTGATGTCTCAGACCTAACGACCTAACTGCCACTTAGCAAAGTTAATGTCATATTTTAGAGTCGACATAGTTTTACATCTCCCATTCTCCCAAAGTCCTTTTATTTTTTGTGGAGGCAGCATTTTATAAATAATTGAGCTGAGGAACAAAAGTTTAAATGTCGACAGATATGAATCACGTTATAATAACTTTTATGCAAATACATCCAATACAACATTGTTCTTTTATTTTATTCAAAAGTTTAATCTGCTGATTAAAGGTATTTTTTATGTACATAGAGAATACAAAAATCTGTACCCTGTATTTCTATGTTTAAGCCCCATTATGTGTAAATATGCGTTACAGTTATATTATTTTTAAGTTTTAGACCAATTTCATAACATCTAAGCATTCGTCCTTTAATTTAGTTTCAAAGACACAACATAATATAAATTCAATGTAGGTAATGACATATTTCCTCTTGTCCCTAGCCACTTGCAGATTAATTAATTATAACTTGGACGAAGGGCTAAACAGTCAGAGACATAAACACGATATCACATAAAAGTAGTTGATGATGCATTTGTAGAAAGTCTGTTCTTTAACTTCCAGGTGACTTCATTCGAGCCTTATATGAGTCTGAGGAGAACTGTGAGGTGGACCCCATGCGTGTCCCGCCATCGGTTCTCGCCGACCACCAGGCCAACCTGCGCATGTGCTGCGAGCTGTTACTCTGCAAGATCATCAACTCTCTCTGGTCAGTTTGTACCCGCAGAGAATGTATATACCAAGAAAAGTGTTTCATTATAGAATCAGAAAAAAATACATAATTTTCAATTAGGAAAAGAAATATACATACAGAAACAAAACGTGTAAATATGTTAACAGATGGTTTGATATTAATATTTTAACCTCTTCTGCATCAAATTATCAATCAATTTAAAAGCTTTATCTTTGCAATCTCTCATCTTGAAACTAATTATTAGAACATTATTATTCAGTGTTTTTTCCCAGTGTTATAAAACATCATCATGTTAGTCTCTTTAGAAAGTGTTTTCTAAATATGTTTTTTATTCTGAGCACGGTACAGTCCAGTTATTTTCCATACGTCTTTGTCTCTGGACCTTGATGAGATACAATATTTTTACGTCACACTCCTCCTGGACAGCTGGTGCTAAAGTCATTTTCCTGTTCCAGCATATTTCCCCGCGAGCTGAAGGAAGTTTTCGCCTCGTGGAGAGCCAGATCTGCTGAGCGCGGAAGAGAGGATCTCGCCGACAGCCTCATCAGCTCCTCCCTGTTCCTCCGCTTCATGTGCCCAGCCATCATGTCCCCCTCCCTGTTCAGCCTGATGCAGGAGTACCCTGCTGAGCGCACGTCCCGCACGCTCACACTCATTGCCAAGGTGATGCAGAACCTGGCCAGCTTCAACAAGTAAGTGTCTGTCATCGCTTTTCCTCTAACCGCACTGCAGAAGCACTTTCACTAGATTCTGTTGTAGAAGTACAGACTTTAAGTCCAGTTTATAAAAATAAATAGATTGATAGACAATAAATATAATATTTGTTTCAACAGTTGACTCTTTATTCATCAATATGTAAAAACATTAACATTAGACCCTTTATATTGATTGATGTATTGCTAAATTCATCTTTCAAACCTAAACCCCTGCACATGTTAACTGTGTAAACATTAGATCCATCCACTATTTCGTTGTTCTTCACTCTTCTTTGTCTGTCACTCAGATTTGGACCCAAGGAGGAGTACCTGTATTTCATGAACGAGTTCCTGGAGATGGAGTGGGGCTCCATGCAGCAGTTTCTTTACGAGATCTCCAACATGGACACTGGAGGAAACGCCGGAGGGTTCGAGGGCTACATTGACCTCGGCAGAGAACTGTCCATGCTCCACAGCTTACTGTGGGAAGTCATGGGCCAGCTGAGCAAGGTGGGCGGAATAAAGCTACGATACATGTGGAGAAGATTTGAATTAAATATTTGATAGGATTTGAGTTGAATACTGATAAATATTGAAAAAATATTATTTAACTATGAAAAAAAAGAGAATTTCATACCTAAATATTTAAACTTGATGAAACGGAATTTCACTGTAGTTTCAAGTTAATGAAAGATATAAATTCTTCAGCCTTAAATATCCTCCTGGATATCTCTGGATGACATTTGTAGTTAAAGAACAATGAAGTGAGTGATTTACAGCAGCCCTTGGTCCGTGGTTCAGTTCGGGAACACTTGCCTCCAGGAAGAAAATTTTATAATTCTACACAAACACTGAATAATGATTTTAGGAAAACACAGATACAACTTCAGTTTTTCTAATACACATTCCAGTACCTGAAATAAGGATATCTGTCAACACTGAGTCCAGATCAGACACTAAGCTGTCTTTTCTCACAATTAAACTTTGAATTCTGCAATAGAAAATACCTATGTTGGTATTTTTTCTAACTGTGATCTCTTGGAGGATCCTGGATGTGAACATTGAAATCTTGGTTTCCTTGATTTCACAACTATATCTGTGTTTTAGGACGCTATTCTCAAACTGGGACCTCTACCACGGTTGCTGAACGACATCAGTGTCGCCCTGAGGAACCCACAGCTGCACATGCCAACAAATCACCAGCCCGACCGACCGAAGGACCGACTCTTCTCACGGCCGTCTTTCAATCGCCTCATGTCCTCCGATTTCCAAAGCCTGATGATGCGTGACTTAAACAGGTATCGTGGTTTCTCCTGATCAATATTACAAAAGGAGTGAGAATTCAAAAGCTTGAAACAAAAAACTGGTGCATTTCTAAAGAACCCATAATACTCCTCTGGCTTTATAAAGTATTCTATCAATCCATAACTGTCTGCACCATCTGTTCCCACACGCTCTTACCTAAACCCTGTTTCCTCTGTGTTTTAATTCACGTCAGCACTCTGCTACTGTCAGGAGACGGTTGTTCTAATTACAGCCTAACTGTTTAAATTAGAAGTCTTTAAATGAGAGTAAGAGAAAACAGAGAAAATATCACAGGATGCCAACGCAGCTATTTTGTGTTTGCTATTAGAAGTTCCTCCTACCAAGCAGTTGTCTGCTGGGAGCTAAGTCTGCCGGAGTAAACACCGAGAACGACACATCTGCGATTCCTTGTAGCTCAGAGTGACTGACAGGATGGAGTCAGGCCTCATTCATCATTCATAATGAAACATGAAGTTCTGACAAACCTTTAAATCCTAGAGGCATGTGTGAAGGTTCAAAAAATCTAGAATCATGGGCAGGGTTTTGAAATGTGAACGTGAACCCAAGATTCCTGTTTTCAAACTGAAAGACCACGCTCTTAAATAATGATAAGAAATAATTAAATCTTAGCTCATAACCCTCAAACCATGCATCCAATGATGATGAGGTTTTTTCTCATATTAGTTACATGATGTTCCTCCTCTTTCCTACTCTCCTTTCCTGTCAGCTCAGCTCTCCAGTGTCCTCGGTCTAATTAAGGTACAAAACATCCCAAAATACTTTAAAACACAGGACAGTATGCAGAATATACCACTTGGGACTCTTCATTGTGTGCTCACATTTTTGCTTCCCTCCCCAGGGCCCATACAAATTAATATTTAATGATTAGATGCAAAATAGTATTCAGTTGGTATCACTTGTTTTGTCTCTCTCTGTTGCTTCTGCAGTTCAATAGACATCTCTCGGCTGCCGTCCCCTACGACAGGAGTATCCGCCGTCGAATCCCTCTCATCCAATCTGAACATGAGGCGCCACGCAGAACGAGACCTCCGCTCGTCGAGGGAAGTTTTTTACGTGACCCGTCCACCGCTGGCTCGATCCAGCCCTGCATACTGCACGAGCAGCTCGGATATTACTGAACCTGATCCAAAGGTATGGTGAGAAATGGACACGAGTTGTTTATTTTCACTCTGGTGTCATAATTATGAATCTTTTAAAGCTCTTTTGAAAACTCTGTGAGTGTGTTTGAGACCCCAGAGTAAATGCATTAATTTTAAGTCCTCTACGTAGTGATCGGAGGCCATCCGTCCATGCAATATATATTTAAATTCCAAAAGGTTAAAAGCAGAAACTGTCTCTAGGTCAAAGTTTTCACACTCCTGATTTTAGAAAACAGAATTTAGTGACTAATTCAAATTAGTCACTAAAGGTCCAGTAAAGCAACTTAAAACAACAAAGATATTCAAAGTGCTTTATATAAGATAGAAAGATTTAAAAGAGGAGATAAATAATAATCAGCTTTTATCTCTGGAGAATAAAATATACAGAGGGAACATTTTTCATTCTTGCAAATACTCCTTTTTAAATCTCATTAATCTACAATCACAATTTTTCTTTTGTGTCTCAGGTCCACAGTGTGAATAAAAGTGTCTCTATGATGGACCTTCAGGACTCCCGCATGAACAGCATTTCCAACCTGAACTCGGTGGGAGACATGCTCACCTCCTCTCAAGCTTCCATTGCCGGGCTTGGCCACAGCTTTGGGAACCTGGGCGGTCCTCTTCGTATGGGAGGGCATATGCCGGCGGGCTCGTCGGGCTCTGGTTTGAGGCTGAGCCAGATGGGCCACATCGGGGGGCCCACAGAATCCATCTCTCAACAGCAACAGCAGGCAGCAGCGGCCATGCACTTCCCTCTATCCTTCCAGAACCCGCTATTCCATCTGGCCGCCCAGAACTCTCCAGCTCAGTCTCAGCAACCTCCTCCTCCTCTCCTGCTCGCCCCCGAGCCTGAGAATGGTCACCATGATTACACACCCGCCTTTGGCAACAGTGCTTTCTCCCGCAGCGAGGACTTGTCCGGCCTGCGGTCACAGAGCAGTCTGGTGCAGCCCAGCATTGTCCACTCACACAGCTACAGTGATGATTTCACCCGACAGAATCACAATAATGACTACGCCTGGCACCAGCTGTCGCTGCAGGTGCAGGTAGGAAACTCTCAAATTATATTTGTCTCTTACAGAACCTTTGGTTTGTTAAAAGCTTAGTTTTCGCATCAAGAAACACAAAAAACGTAAATATGATGATTACTACTGTGGGTGACAACCAAAATATTACAATCCCCTAAACCTGTGTATTTAAGTTCATTTATTAATGCAACATCACACTTCTCATGGTAAAATTGGTCGACTGCACTGACCAATGAGGCACCAACATCTTTTATATTCTACTATTATATGTTGGAAACATCAGTGGAACTGCTGGTTTGAATCCCTATTTTTTCCGCAGTTGCCTTACTTTCAATCACTCAAATGAAATACAAGCAGCCCCAATGTTGGAATGAGGACTTTATCGCCTTTAACATCTCAACGCCATACTCAGATCAGCCCTTCTGTTCCTGTCAGATTTTAACGTTGCAGTACGAAACATAGATCCAAACAAAATTGCAAATGTCTGCAAAAAGCAGTTTTCCTGAGTGGTAGGATATGTAAATCTAAGGGCATCTCTGAGAGACACTTGTTATGCAACAGTAAACACACTGAGGCCAGATGACTCCCTCACCTCCTCTGCTGAGCTGTGTAGGGGGCTTGACATCTATCACACTGTGCGTGCTTGTGTCAACAGAGCTGGAAGCTAGTTTAAGGTCACTAGAGCAGAGAGAAGTGTCTTAAGTGTGGACAGTACAAATATCATCATATTATATGTACTTAAAACCTCAGCCTGCTGCAGATCAGACGTAGATCTGCTGATGAGAGATGTTTCACTCTAATCTAAACTGTGCTAGACTGTAGTTTGAGCATTTACAGTTAAATCATATAAATTAAACCCAGGAGATTTTTGTATTTTGTTGAAACTAGTGACTGGTGGACTCGATCACATTCATTAGTTTACTACAGCATGTCCGTGTAAAATTATAGTGTTCAATGACACTGTCATGTTGTCTTCAGCTATTTCTGTCCTGCTGCGTGGGCCTTAATGGAACAAACATCACAAGAGCGTCCTGTTTTATTAATACAGATGGTGCGATCAGGACTGTGCTTCATGCATTAATCTTCCATCCATACATCCAGACCTGCACAGTTACACATTTTCATTTTTAGGTTCTGTGCTTCTTTACGTTAAATTAAATAATTGATGCTACAACTTCTCACAGTTCTTCTTATGTTGAGGTGAATCTACTCCAATTAATTATCAGACTAATGTCACATCCATTATTTAATGTCAAAAACTTGTGTAACTACCAAACACAAAAGGTCTTGACTGTACTCTCATCTGAGTCCCGAGTCCAACCGAGGCATCAGCATTCGGTTTTCACGCTCCAGAAACTTGAGCTCAAACTGTCAAAACATGTTAGAAAAAGCCATTTGTTAAAATTGAATTTGGAGCTGCACCACCTCATTGAGTTTGTGATGTAACATTTATTCTTATTTTATCAATTTTAGCT